GCAGGCTTTGACTCTGAGGTCCGAAAGGGCAGGGAGGGCTTGGGTGTAGCAGCGGGCTCCATGGATAGCATCAAGGCGACCTATAGCATCACTGTGTGTGTGGCTGGGGCTGTGTCGGCCACCAGGGCCTGGCTCTGCGTCTCTGGGAGCATCCTGAGGGCACTTAAGAAGTGAGCAGAGGAGGGTGTGGGGGTGTGTGGGTGAGGGTGGTGGACAGGAGTGTGTAGGGCTGAGCCTGAGCTGAGTGTGTGCTGTGGGGTGCAGAGAATATGGGTGGGGACACCAGTGCACGGAGGGACCGGGTGGGTGCGGGCAGTGACGGCCGAGGGGCTGGGTGCCCTGGGCTGGGCACTTACCGTGGAAGGCCCGGAGGTAGTTGTTCCCGAGGTACACCAGGTTCTCCAGGGCAGGGTTAAACTGCTCCATGATACTCTGGAGCCGGAGGGCAAGGGGTGATGGGGGATAGATTGGAAGAGGAAGAAACGTTGATGGGCAGGGAGGCAAGTCACTGGGCCTCAGAAGCAGGGCACCCCCGGACCCAGAGAGAAGCCCGACCCTAGGGGAACCCATCTAGAAATGCGGAGTCACCCAGGATCCTGACTCTGCTGCAGGGGCCTTGGAGGCCATCTCTTGGGCTCACACGCCTGCCCTGGCAGGAACTTGTTCCCAGGACAACGCGCCTGGAAGGTTCTCCTCCTCCCACTGGGTTGAAGGCTGTGGTCCATTGTGGGCCCCCAGCTGGGTGTGGCTCAACCCTGCCCTGGGTCCAGGCCCCGCTGGGCTGAACACACAGGCGGCCGACAGTCACCTCAGAGGCAAGGGCAGATCTTGCCCTTCCCAAAGAAGAGCCCCTCGGGAGCAAGGCTGTGGCTGGGTCATAGGCCACCTCAGGCCATGGCCGGCAGGAGAGTACCCTCCATGGTGGAAAGGACGCTGGGCATGGACTTAAGACTTGGGTCTTGGTTCAAATCCCAGCAGCCTCTTTGGGATCTCTGGTGACCTTGAACAAGCTGTTTAACCCTGCTGGCCTCGGTTTTCTCATCTATCATTTGGGGTGATTATTTTCTATCCTACAGGCAGGGTGCCATGAGGCTTATCTGTGAAAGGGTCTTGTACACAGTAGGTGCTCAATAAAAGTCTATGCAGACTACAGTAACCTCTCTGGAGTGAAGCAGAAAATTTGAGTGAGGGGTTCAGAAAGGAGAGACAGACAGAGACGGGAAGATAGAGACAGACAGAGAGGGACTCTCCAGTCGTGGGCCAGGTGGCTCTCCGGCCCCCCTATCCCACCTCTGGCCACCCTGGGTCCTCTGTCCTGCCTTGTCCGGCATCTAGGAGTGCTGTCTCAGCAGGCCTGTTGCTCCCTGGGTAACTGTGTGGACAAACCCCCGCCCCGCGAGCCTCAGGTTGGGGCTGGGGTGGGGGCCTTTGGTCTGCATGTGCCCAGACCCTGATGGCCGGTGGGCCGCGTCTGGGGAAGAGGTGAGAAGGCTGGCTGCGCCCAGGGATCCCCATGTCATGCCCACAAGCCAGACTGGTTCACAGACCATGCTGCGCCCACGCACACCCTCCACCCTCCAGCCCTGGGAACGGATGTTCGGGCCCCGGGCCCCCAGCCACACACACACACACGCTCACCTTGTAGATGGCCATGGTGGACCTGTAGAACTGGTCCATCTCGGGGGCCATGGAGTGGGCTTCGACCCAGGTGCTGAGCAGGAGGCTGGGGGTGCTGGCAGGGTCGGGAGCGCCGAGGGTCAGTCCCCTCCAGTGCCCACTGCTCTAAGGGAGTGAAGAATCCTGCAGAGTAGCACGGAGGTGAGGGCCTGCCGGCGGTGGCCGGGGAGGTGGCAGCTTAATTATTCACCAGCCAGGGATGTCAGAATGTGATCTGGGGCGTAACCAGACCCGGGGGGAAGGCATCCTGTGACGCGGGCAGGTTCGTGTGACCTGCCCTTCAATTATTTACCCCTGTGAGCCGTGGGCTGGTGGGCACGCGTGGATGGGCCGTTCTCTTAGGTCACCTCCTCCTCCAGGCCGAGCTTTCCCCAGGCCCCGCAGGGACCCCTGGCTATGGGGGGACCCCCGCCCTCCCGCCTGCCCACACTGGGCCCTGTCCAAGTTAGAGGGGCCGGAGCTGCGGGGGTGCCCTCCCCCAGAACCCTCCCCGACAGACCCAGCCCCTGAGGCCAAACGTACCACTGGGCATCGCCGTTCTCTGGCCTCTTCTCTACCCCAAGCCGCTCACACCCGCACTTCAAGGGCTGAGGATCCCACATCTGCCAAAGCCTGCCCAGACCCTCTCATGCTGGAGAGGCGGTACCACAAGCCCCAGAGCCACACAGACCCGGGCCAGACCTTGTCCCTCCGCACTGGCCGTGTGACCGTGCCCAAGCCCCCTGCCCTTTCTGGGTCTCATCCCCTGCCTGCCCCGGCAACTGGGGCTCGTCCTCACCCCCCACCGTGGGCAAGTGGACTTAGCTGCCGCCTCTGAACTACCCTCACGGCCTGATTTGGGGGCGCCTGGAGCAGAGAAGTAGTATCCCCAGGGGAGCCCGGGAAACAGCATTCATCCAAGGGGGCACAGGAAGAGGACAGTCAAGGCTGAAGGGAGCTGGTGGGTGCGGGGCCCTGGGGGACTCTGAGCACAGTGCACACAACACAGGTGAGCTTGAATCAAACCGTTTATTTCAGTTAAGGGCAGGCTCTGGATCCCCGCCCCACCCATCAACCACCTCGGGTCGGGAGGAATAACCGAAGTCACAGAAGTGACCTTTGAGAGCTGAGGGGAGCTCGCAGGGTGGGGCAGTTCCGAGGGGTGCAGGCGGCTGCATGTGTGTTGAGGGCAGAGTCGGCGGGGCTTGGGTTTCCCCTGCTGATGGGTGGGCAAAGGCCTGTTTCCCCAAGCCCCCCACCCCAGGGAAGAGGACAGAGAGTGGAAGGGGTTTTGGCATCCCCCCTCCGCCAGGGGACCTGGGAGAATGCCTGGTGTCTGAGCTAACAGGGCTGGGGGCCCAAGCGTCAGTTGTCCTTGGCCATCAGGGAGAGGGCCCCAGTGAGGCTCTAGGATTTCTAAGCGTGGAATGACAAAAAGTGCCAGAAGGCGGGGACAGTGTGGGCAGGACTCAGGACCAGCCTCAGGCAGGAAGCCCAGTGCCCTCTGAGGCCTGGTCTGTCTGGTCTGGAGATGCAGAGCCGCCGAGGCCCAGCTCTGCCCAGTGGCGCGCTGGTGAGATGTCACCTGGCCTCTCCATCAAGGGCTGGGTGGGTGGGATGGGGTGGCGGGGGGTGCCCAGTGGCCTCACGGTGACAGCAGCAGCTGAATGAGCTTCTGGAACTGTTCTCGGTGCTCATAAATATAGACCTCAGTCTCCCACAGGGCATTAACCAGCACTGTGTCGCTGACCTCATCCAGCATGATGTCAGTCCCCAGCTGGGGGTTCAATCTGTCCGGGTCAAGGAGGAGGGGGTCACCCCACGAGGCTCGGCTTGGGTTGGGGATGAGAGCTAGGACTGGGGAGGGCTTGGGGCACGGAGTGGCCGCGTGGGGAGAGGGGACATCCACACCAAGGGCTGGGCGGGTTAGTTCACTGGGTCTGGCCAGGCAGGGACACAGGGCTGGGCCTAGGGTCAGGAGCCAAAGCTGAGGCCTCACCTGAAGTACTGGATGCCGACCATCTCACACCAGGCCCGGGCCCGGTCCACAGCCCGCCCATCCGGATCCGTGCACTGGCAAGAAGCAGTCTGTGTGAGCGTCCTACACAAGCTGTACCCACAGCGTCTGCCCAGGGACCCCCAGGTTCTAGTCTGGCTTAGCCGCTCCTCGGCAGAGTCCCCCTGCCTGGGCCGCAGTGACTGTCCCAGCTGTGTCACACAGGGGCGCGGTCTGAGGTTTTCTCAGGTGGTTCAGCAGCCCCTGACCGGGTTCAGGGGGACAGGCTTTTGTCCGTCTGATATCCTGGGCTTCCGCACGGGGCTGTGTTTGAAGGAGGGCTGTGTTTGAAAGCCCCAGGTGTAGGTGGCCACTAAGGGTCCCTGCCAGCACTGAGAATGAATCAGGAACCCCCTCCCCTGGGCCGGCTAAAGAGGTTCAATGGAGCCTCCCTGACGCCCCGGGTCCCAGGGGGCTGAGATCCAGAGGGGAGAGGACATGGGGAGGGGCCCATACTCACACAGTCCACCACCATCTTGCCCAGTTCCTTGGCCCCAAAAACAGTCTTGGCCAGTTCCCAGGGGTTGCTGGGACGGAATACGTCCACACAGGTCACGGGCACCTGTGGGGACCTCCCTGTCCCCAGAGAGACCACGATGGAGAGCTTCTTCACCTTGCCTTCCTGGCCCTGTTGGGGACAGGACAGGGGTAGTTGGAGGGGATCTGCCCACCGGCGGACCCTTCCCCAGGTGGCAGAACCAGAGCCTGTGCTGTCCTCTCTTCTGCTCCCCAACAAGCTCCGCTTCCAACATGCTGGGCAACCTTGACAAGTCTCCCCGCCGTCCAAGGTCCTCATCTGCAGTAGGAGGCGACTCAGACAGAGGATGACCCATGACCCTCCCCATCCAAATCTTTGAGCCCTTCCTCCTCCAAGGAAGCCTGCCCTGCCCGGTCTGGCCGCTAGAGGGCGCCTGCCTCTCGGACCGCCACCCCTGTTGTGTCATCCAGGGTCTGCGCCCTGGGCTTCCTGATGACCACAGTGAGAACCACAGCCGGCAAGGATATGGCACACTAGGGGTCAGGCACCGTCCTAAACATTTTACACAAAAGCACACGGACGCCTCATGACAGTCCCCATGGCGGTACCACCCATCCCCCGTGCAGTGGCTGGAGCGAAGCACAGGCAGAGCCAGCGCCCAGACCCTGAGGCCATCTGGCTCCGAGGCCTGAGCCCACGTCTCAGCACCTCTGCTGGTAACACACGGGCCTATCGCTTCTCGGCCTTTTGGCTAAGATCAAGTGTGGTAACACACGGGCCTAGCCCCGCCTCTGCGCTAAGGGCTAAGGCCCACTTCTGTTCCTCTGGGTCACGGACTCTGCACGGTCTCCTCCCTAGAGGTCTCCTCCACGGGCCCTTTGCAAGCCCCCAGGTCTCCCAGCACAGGCTATCCTCCTCCTGGGCTCCTGCGTGGTCCGCTATCTCAGCACCCCAAACCCCTGGAGGGGCGTATCCTTGTTTATAGATAGCCCTGCTTCCACAGGGCAAGCGCGTGTCCCCAGGCTGGGCAGGGTAGCCAGCACCACAGCAGGCATGGACCACTCTGCCTGCTGCCCACTAGCCGCCCTTCACCATTCGGTGCAGATTCGGCCTCAGAATCCCTCTGATTAGCACAGAGCTCTGGGCAGACACGGCCCATCAAGCAAGTTTGAGCGTGAGATAAAGCTGCTGCCCAGGGCACCCACAAATGAGCACGAAAATAAGTGCCATCTGGTCTCCTAGGAGTCCGTCCTTAGTAAGATTTGCTGAAACAGGGGTGGCTACGGTGGACGGTCACGTCCAGCCCCTCTGACCCACGGCGCTCTCACCTTGCGGATCATGTCCTGGTTGTACTCATGGATCTCCGTCATGGCGTCCAGCGTGGGATTGTTGGCCAGCAGCCCGCCGTCCAGGAAGCGCCCGTTGGGCCGGAAGTAGGTGGGGGCCGCCCCACTGCTCCGGGCAGCTCGCCACACCAGCTGCTCTGGGGGTGAGGGAAGAGGGTGGCCCAGTGGCACGAGGGACCGGTACAAACCCATGCAGTCCCAGGGTGCACGTGCCTGTGCGTGTGCGGGTCTGTAGGGAGAGGTGGAGAGGCTGGGGACTCTTCTGAAGCAGGACCCACAGGCCATGCTCTCTGGCCCCGCCGTCCTGGTGGAAGGCAGGGTGCAGCTGAGGACCTCCAGGGGCCTCCTCCAGCCTGAGACTGGAGAGCGCCCCGGTGCGGCCTGGCCTCAGCCGATAAAGACTCAGGGCAGTGTGAGGGATGGTGGTGGGCTGGGGGTGCCCAGCAGCAAGCCTACGACTCCCACCCACCACCCCGCGGCCTCTCGGGCCGACTGTTTCCCACGGATGCAGCCAACATGGTTTTCACCTGAGGGCTGAGTCGGAGGCTTCAGGTTAATATTCTGGCTGAAACGAGGTTCCCGTACACACTCCGGAGCCTCGTAATTCCGGAAGAGGTGAAGCTCAGCAGGCTGCCGGTCAGACAGCGTCCCTGTCAGCATCACCCTGGAGAGACACGAAGGGCAAGACGGCTGAAGTCCCTGACTTACCCACCCCTGAAAACCCACATTGGCCGTCTGCATCTGAATCACTGAAGGCCTTATCCTTGGACCCATCGGTCCTAGTTCTGGGAGTTCATCCTAAGACATTCTCACGGACACACGCAAAGCTGTCAACAGCGGCATCGGTGGACAGAGTAAACCACTGGAAGCAGCTGAAAGGTCCACCAACGGGATGGGCTGATGCATCGCGGCTCCCCTACTCCGTGGGGTCTGTGTCACTGCAGAACGACTGAGGAAGCACTTGATGCACTGATAGGCCGTGAGCATCAAGGTTGACAGTTAAGTGCGAAAAGTAAGGGTTAGACCAGTGCGCGTCCTATGCCACCATTTATTTGAAAACAAAACCCCCAAAATTGATGTGCCTATTGGCTTGGTCAGAAGGACCCATGAGTGGAACCTAGGAGTGATGAGCTGCCTCTAGGGCAGGGGACAGCTCGGTGGCTACAGCTCACAGACAGCAGTGGGAGGAGACTTCTCACCGTATCACCTTTGATAACCTCTTCAACGTTCCACTGTGTGAGTCTATAATCTATTAAAGACTCTTACTTGTCTCAGACAAGACAAGCATCCTTAAATAGTGCAGGGAGTGCGGACTGGCATAGCCCCCTGGGAAGCTAATGTGTACTAAGATCTTACAAACATCCTGGCTCTTTGATCTGAGAATTCCATTTTGGAAAATCTATCCCAAAGGAATAATCTGAGCTACAGTAAGAGCTTCTTGCAAAAAAGCTACTGGTTGTAGTGTAATTATTACAGTAAAAAATGGCCCGGTCTGAGGCACCTGGCTGGCTCAGCCGGAGGACCGTGCAGCTTTTGATCTCAGGGTCATGAGTTCGAGCCCCATGTTGGGCATAGTGATTACTAAAAAAAAAAAATAAACTTGGGTGCCTGGGTGGCTCAGTCGGTTGAGCGTCCGACTTCGGCTCAGGTCATAATCTCACAGTCAGTGAGTTCGAGCCCCGTATCGGGCTCTGTGCTGATGGCTCGGAGCCTGGAGCCTGCTTCCGATTCTGTGTCTCCCTCTCTCTCTGCCCCTTCCCTGCTCATGCTCTGTCTCTCTCTGTCTCAAAAATAAATGAAAACATTAAGAAAAAAAATTAAAAAAAAATAAACTTAAAAAAAATAAACAGTAGCAAGAGAAGGGGTAAGTAAATGTTTTGCACCCACTCCAAATCGTGCCAGCCGACTAACAAAGAAATACGTTTGTTATGCTGTAAAAACAACCACAACAACACACAGGAAAGGGAACAAAAACTCTGCCTCTGCATAGGAAAAATATACTAGTTTTTCATTTCTGGGAATACTGTGGAAAGCTTATTTGAACAACCTCCCCACTGAACAAAAAGTGAAATGCTGGAAAAATTACTTTTAAAAATCCCCTTAGGGGTTCCTGGGTGGCTCAGTCAGCTGAGCATCTGACTTCGACTCAGGTCATGATCTTGCCGCTCCCAGGTTCAAGCCCTGCATTGGGCTGTCTGTTGTCAGCACGGAGCCCACTTTAGATCCTCTGTCCCTGCCTCTCTGTCCCTCCCCATGCCCTCTCTCTCAAAAATAAACATTAAAAAAAAAGAGTAAAAATAAAACACAGGAGATCTGACAAGACAGAAAGGAAATACCAGGGTAAGCTCTGAGGATAAGCAAAAATCCAGAGAGGTAAGTGAAGCATAGACCTAGGTTTGACCTGAGGCAGATACCAAACTCAGTACATTTGAGTTTCAGTTTTGATGGCTTCATGGGACTTGGGAGACAAAAGTCAAAGCCCAGGGCCCACCAAAATTTCAGGGTCTAATGGGAGACCCCCACATTAGGCTGGGACCCCAAAGGACTACACTCGTGGGTAGGGGTGAGCCAGAAATAAATCTGCTCCTTTCCCACCCCAGAGCCTGTGAAGAAAGTTGCTTTGGCATTGGATAAAAGAGAGAGAGAGAGAGAGAGAGAGAGAGAGAGAGAGAAAATTCCTGAAAATGTATAACCACAAGCTAACCCTCCTGCAGATTTGTGGTCTAAATTCATATCACCTCGGGGAAGTCCCCAAACTTTATGTCAAGAATTTAGTTATAGTGGCATTAGATGGTAGGGTACCTAGTACCTGGAAGAGACAACACAAAACAATCTGGAGGGAGATACTTGCATTCTAGGCCTCATAGAATCTAGTCATATTATATTTCAACACTAAGGAACACCACACAGTAAAAAAGGGAGGGGAGGACACACAATGAAATAAAATATCATAAATGAAAACCAGTATAAACCAACATAAACAGTAAAATATACCTATAAAGACTGCAGATATTTGAGTCCTTGAACACAGATTATAAAACAGCTATGCCTACAATATTTAAAGACATCAAAGGCAAGTGTGATAAAATCACCAAGGAATAGGAAACTATCAGTAATGACCCAGAAGAACTGAAGAAGAACCAAAGAGAACTTCTAGAATTAAAAAATAAAAAAGCAATAGAATTTTAAAAAATCAATGGATAGGTTAAATGGAAAATTAGATAAAGCTACAGAGAGAATTAGTGAATTGGAAAACAGGTAAGAAGAAATTGGGATGTAACACAGAGAGACAGAATGACAGAATATACAGGAGAAATTAATAGAAACAGAAGACAGAAAAGGTCTAGCACATGTTTAATTGTAGTTCCACAAGGAGAGGAGAGAGAAAATTAGGAAGAGGCAAGGGTTGAAGAGATAACAACTCAGGATTCCAGAACTGAAGAAAGGAAACAATCCAAAGATTCAAGCCTAATAAATACCATGCAGGTTAAACTGGAAGTAATTCATATCAGGCAGAAGGAAAGTGGTCACAGATGGAAGTTTGAGATGCAAGAAACACTGTAGAGCAAAGATGTAATACACACACATATGCATACACACACACACACACACACACACACAC